ATGGCACTTGTATTGTCAGCATAAAGTAAAGTTGACTTTGTTTGGGGAAATCCAAGTTCAGCCAAAAGACCACGAAGCCAAAGTATTTCTGAACACGCAGCAGACATGGCACGATACTCTGATTCAGTAGAAGATTTAGAAACTCTTGCTTGCTTCTTACTTTTCCAAGAGATCAATGAAGAACCAAGAAACATACACCAACCAGTAACATATCGACGAGTATCAGGACACCCTGCCCAATCAGCATCACTATAAGCGCTCAACTGAAGAGAAGTTCCAACGGAAAAGAATAATCCGCGGTGAGAGGTTCCTTTTAAGTAGCGAATTATACGACAAACTGCAGCCAAGTGAAGATGGCGAGGAGAATGCATGAATTGACTTACTCGTTGAACAGCAAAAGATATGTCAGGGCGAGTAATAGTCAAGTAGTTGAGGCTACCCACAAGTTGTCGATACAATAAGGGATCAGGCAACAGATCCCCATCATCACGATGATATTTAACATTAACCTCAAGAGGAGTATCTACTGGATTAGCCGATTCAAGACCGGCCATAGAAATCAAATCTGTAGCATACTTGTGTTGATGGAGAAAGATGCCCTTGGATGTAGAATGAACCTCAAGACCAAGAAAATAATGTAGATTACCCAGATCTTTCATATGAAATGAGGCCTGTAACTGTTGCTTAAGTCGCTGAATGGAAGCATGATCTGAACCAGTAATAACCATATCATCAACATACAAAAGAAGCAGAACAATACCCGCAGATGTGCTATGAATAAATAAAGATGAATCATACTGACTCTGAGTAAAGGAGAATCCAAGTATAGTGGCGCGGAATTTCTCGTACCATGCTCGAGGTGCCTGTTTCAAACCATATAAGGAGCGTTTGAGCTTACACACGCCTTTAGATGAAGAGAATAAGCCTTGAGGTGGAGTCATATAAATATCTTCTGTCAGGTCACCATGAAGAAAAGCATTCTTCACATCCATTTGATGAAGAGTCCACCCATTAGAAGCAGCTATAGACATGATTGTGCGGACAATTGTCATTTTGGCAACCGGTGCAAATGTCTCATCATAATCAATTCCATATTCCTGCTTGTTTCCTAACGCAACCAAACGAGCCTTGTAACAGTTGAGGGACCCATCAGAATTCAGTTTCACAGAATACACTCATTTGCAACCTATAGGTTTTACATTTGGAGGACAAGTGACGATATCCCATGTGAAATTCTCTTGAAGAGCTTGGAGCTCTTCAGTCATTGCTTTTATCCATCGCACATCTTTAACAGCCTGTGAGTAACAAGTAGGAATAGATATGCTAGAGAGTGTGGCAGTCAGAGAAGTATGTGAGGAATCATACATGTCTGGTGAATATCTATCTGGTGCGCGGGATATTCGACCAGAACGTCGTGGTTCAACCGGTACAGGATCAGGTGGCAGTTTAGCATCGGGAAGGGGTGTGGGAACCTGTTGTCTGTGTTTTCTGACATATACATGATCTGGTTTAACGTTCTATAGCTTGAGGCATAATAGAAAACTTAGGAAGAGTAACAATATCATTAATGGCAGGAGAACCACAGGGAAACATAAACTGATTATCAAAAAATGTCACATTTCTAGAAATGCGAAAACGATGGTTAGAGACATCATAACACACAAGTCCCTTATGAGAGTTACTATATCCCATAAATGCACATTGAACGGATTGTGCTCCAACTTTATGCCTTTCAAAAGGAGGTAAGTGAACAAAACACACACACCCAAAAGTATGTAAAGCACTATAATCAGGATGAATTTTAAATAGACGGAAGAAAGGAGAATCAAGATCAATAACTGTAGAAGGAATACGATTGATCAAGAAGACAGCCGTGGAAAGAGCCTCCACCCAAAATCGGGATGGTACAGAAGCTTGGAGAAGTAAGGTGCGTGTTACGTCAAGCAAATGACGATTCTTACGTTCTGCCGTGCCATTTTGTTGAGGTATTCCTGAAACTCATGAGACATGTACTCACCACCAGAGTCAGATCGAAAAATTTTAACACTTACTTGAAATTGAGTTTCAACATATGTCAAATATTTCTTAAACATAGAAAACACTTCGGATTTAGAACAGAGAAAATATATCCAAGTAAAACGACTATAATCATCAATAAATGTGACAAAATATTTATAGTGAGCATGAGAAACCACAGGAGACATTCCCCATACATCACTATGAATCATCTCAAAACAAGTGGAAGCACGATTAGCACCAGACGGAAAAGGAAGTGTTTTACTTTTAGCCAATTTGCAAACAGAACATGAAACAGAGGCATCAGAAATAACATTTTTATTTCCCAACAAGCCACTTTTACATAAATGAGACAAAACAGAAGAGTTTGGATGACCTAGTTTTCTATGCCAATCCTCATAGGAATTCAAAACATTATGACAAGCAAGAGACAAATGATTAGAAATAAACTGTATTGGAAACAATCTTCCCACTTTAGGCCCCTTCGCGATCACTTTCCCCGACACCTGCTCCTGCACAAGACAACCAGACCGAGAAAAATTAACATTACAATTATTGTCCACCAATTGACCAACAGACAATAAATTAGAAGCAAGTCCAGGTGAGACAAGCACATTCTGAAAATCCGAGTTTATGTCCCCAACGTTAGTGATAGACATGGTATTACCATTAGCAATCTGAATTTTCTGATTACCATGATAAGAATGTAAATTGTGCAAGTTTTCAGATGAACCTGTCATGTGATTGGATGCACTAGAATCAATAAACCATGGACGAGAAACATGAGAAGACTTACCCTTAATACCCAAGGCTGAAAGGGCAGAAAGTACCATGTGTTGAATCATTTCAGGTTGTAGAGCATTGCCATCTGATGCACCAGTGGTGGAAGAGCCAATTGTATGGCCTGTAGTGGCATGAAATGCCTTCACCGAATGATGTGTTGGTCGTGGAGGACGCGGGACAGTCAGAAATGATATGACCTTGTTGTTTGCAATAATTACAAAACTTCTTACTGCAGCTACGAGCAATATGTCCAAACTGTTTGCAAGAAAAACATTGGACATGTTGCATATCACGACCTTTATTTCTACTTTGAGCAGCATATGCAATTGCCACAGGCTCAGAACTGACAGTATCATGAGACATGGTTCCTTGAGTAAGGAGACGTTGTTCCTCCCTGAGAAGTTCACCAACACATGTATCCAAAGAAGGAACAGGATTCCTATTTAGCAAAGCACCTCTGACAACCTCAAATTCTAGACGAAGCTTCATGAGGAATTGATCTCGCCTACTTGTGTTGTAGACCTCTTGAACAGCCGCAAGAGAGGTCTTGGGAACATTAGCATGTATAATAGCAGAGTGTTCTGCCCAAAGATTCAAAAAACCAGAATAGTATTCTTGAATAGACAAATCACCTTGTTTGTAGTTGGCGATGTCTAACTCCAACTGAAAATGTTTTGCCGAATTGTCCTGGTTGTAAATGCGCTTCAAATAATTCCACATTTCTTGAGCAGTTGAAAAAGAACGCAAATTATTTATCATTTGAGGATCAATACTGTTTAGAATCCAAGTGATAATTTGAGCATCTTTAGTTTCCCACGCATCTAAAGCAGTTTTCTCCGTTGGTGCCTTAGAAACATCATCTAAGTGACTCCATAATCCCTTTCCTTTAACATACATCTTGAACTGAAATTCCCATGCCGAATAATTCTTGCCGGTAAAACGAACACAAAAATTATCTCTTTCTTTTTCGGAAGCCATCTAAATTATTAAACCACCAGATACAATCTCACTAATATTATTTTATTATTATTATTATTATTATTATAATAACTATAATATAATAACAGTAACTGTAATCACAGTTACTAGAACAGCAACAAGAAACAATACCCACGAACCAACGAACAACAGCACGATCAAATCCACGATTTGGAAGGAGCGGCAAAACAGAAGATTATGACGATCCAGAATCACGAAGCAACAACAGCCAAGAACAAAAAAAAATTGATTGCAATATCAGCGCAACAACGAGAATCTCCAAGACGAAATCACGAACCGGCAACCAAAGATTTAGAATCTCAGACAGCTGCAAGGTTTCGATTTCAAACGAAAGAATTTCGAAACGAACACGATTACGAGAGCGAACCAGTGGGGTATCGCTGATCAGCCAATATAATAATATTTTCCAGGTTTGATCGAACCTACTTATACCATGTCATGAAATTTGGCTTGATGCCTTTCTCATTGCCTTTCATACTATATATAATAGTGTCGGTAATTACAACTCATAATAACTAATTACAGCTGATAATAACTAATTACAATTCATAATGACTAATTTCCTATTCTATGAATGTAAATTATTCACAATAACTGCAAAAATTATTTCCTAATTAACAGTCCACACCATCATCTCCTCAAGCCTCAAGTCTCAAAAACTCAACATCAACTTCCAAGCCCGTCCCATAATGTTGCTTTAAATTCCTATTATGCTTTGAATCTCACTTGTAATAATAATAGTTCCAGCGTTGCTACTGTGGCATTGTGGACTAGGTCATCCACATGATGACACATTGAAACGCATAGTCAAACTTTGTAATATTCACACACCTAATAAAGTTTATCTAATTTCTGTAATTGGGTTTTCTTGTTTTCATTCAAGAAATCTATGATTATGGTTGTTCGAGTATTTAAAGTGGTCTCTCAATTGCACCTATTGAAGGAAAAAAAAACTGAGATTCAAATGGAAAGATCAAGCAGTGTCGAATACCATAGATTTAACAGAAAATTAATACCCTAACTATGGTTTTTGGTCAATAGCACAAGTGAATTTTTTTAGCATGTTAGTTGAAACATAACAATTGAAAGCCAAACCACCACTTACGGATCTTTAAAGCAAAGCATTGAATAATAATCCATGTTAGTATGGATGATGTAGATCATTATGTGAATGTGATGTTAACATTTACAAATTCATACCTTTACTCCTTCATCGGACTAAGCAGCATGTTTAATGTAACATACATTTCTATAGAATTAGGATGTGATTTATCGTTGGATACAAATGAATGAACTTGATTACCAATCTCAATCCAACTACGACCTGGAACTTTTGCATCATGTTTGTCTTCCATCATTTTTCGAACTCTTTCCACACCACACCAATGTTTCTGTGCAGCATAAATGTTCGACATTACTGCATAGTTCACACTCTTTTCTGGCTCAATGATGAAGAGTTTTTCTGCAGCCAATTTAGCAAAATCTATATTTGAATGTAGTTTGCAAGATCCAATAAATGCTCCTAAGGTATCTGATTCAGCTTGAATTGGCATTGACTTCAAGAATTCAAAAGCTTCATTTATAAGACCGTATCTTCCTAGAAGGTCAACAAGGCATGCGTAATGTTCTGTATCAGGACCAATTTGATACACATTGGTCATTAATTTGAAGTAGTGAAGTCCCTTTGTCACAAGCCCGCGATGAGCACATGCAGTGAGAACGCCGAGAAGAGCGATTTTATCCGGTATTATGCCGCGAGAGAGCATCTTCTCAAACATCTCAGTAGCTTCTTTGGCTAGCCCGTGGAATGCATATGCATATATCAATGAAGTCCATGTAACTAGATCAGGCTGTGAAGTTAATTCAAAGCATTTACATGCACTAGTAATGCTACCACACTTGGAGTAAGCACTGATCAAAGAATTGACAACAGATAAAAAGTCATGACACAATAACTTAACCGCAAAAGCATGTGCTTGCAGTGTTTCGGTAATGGCAGAAGCATAGCCACATGAACTAATAACACTGGAAATAGTCAGTTCATCAGGAAGAAACCCTTCTCGAAGCATCTCTCTGAGAAGCTTCATAACTTCATTGCCATCACCGTGATTTCCACACCCAACAACCATGGTGTTCCATGCCACAACATTTCGAATCGGCATCTCATTGAATACTCTACGTGCATCGATTATGTTTTCATTTTTCGCATACATGTTAATCAATGCACTAGCCACCAAAACATCCGAGTCAAACGAATGTCTCAGAACAAGACTGTGAATCTGTTTTCCAAAATCATAATATTCCAAAGCATCGTCACTTATCACACTGATCATGCTACTAAAAGTAAACTCGTCCCCGTTCGCAACATCCAACCGCATCAAATTGAACATGTTAAAAGCCTCTTCCGGTAAACAATTGAAAGTATAGCAAGAAATCATTACATTCCACATAACCAAATCTCTAAATGGAACAAAACAAAAAACCCTCCTTGCATTCTCAACAAAACCACATTTTGCATATAAATCAACTAGAGCACAACCAATAAAACAGTCCAAATCAAATCCAACTTTCACTGTAAAACAGTGCAACTGAATTCCCATCTCAGCATCATGAAACTGAGCACATAAACAAATCAAACCATTTAAAGTTATATAATCAGGAACCACCATTTCCAACAGCATCCTTTTAAAATAAGAAAAACACAGCTGCGTACCATTCGAGTAACTCTCATTGTCATGTGATCCAACAACACCGCGAATCATAATATTCCACGACACAACATTTCTCACAGGCAATTCATCAAACAGCTTCTCTGCATCTTCAGTTTCTTTACATTTAAGATAAACACTCAAAATCTGATTCTGTAATGAAAGAACATGACAAAATCCAAACTTTATTAAATGGGCATGTAACTGTTTTCCTTCGGGAAGATAACCCTTTTTGGCTGAGATTTTCAGGGCGTTGGAATAAAACAAGTGAACAGTGTCATGGTCTTTAAAATGGGTTTGATCATAAATTGGCATAGAAGCTTTGAGTCTTATAGAGCTACATGGATGATGGGGTTGGTAGGAAGAGAAAGAGAAACATTGTGTGAAGAATGAGATAGGGAATGGAGGGAAAAATAGCTTCTTTTTGAAATGAAGCTTGCCGAACATAAGATGAAGGAATTGAAATTTACAAGACAAAATGAAGAAGAAGAAAAAAAAAACATTATTTTTCTTTTGAAAAATAATATTTTTCAACTTTACTCTAAAGTGTATGATATAAACTTCAAACCATAGATAATTTACTTAGTACATCTTTAAAATATATCAGCGATGAGGTTTCTTTAGAAGTAACTCATATAAGGTTAACAATACTTAAATGATAGATTTGCAGAGTTGATTTTTAAAAGGTATTGGAAGAAAATATTTTTAAGATTAAGTTTATATTTTGATACGTATTTAAAATTTTTAAAATTAAAAAAAATGAGATAGTAGCATATAAGAGTATATTGTTTTTTTCTCTTTTGTTTTTAAAAATATCAAATACATATTGTCTCGTTACGAAACTAGAATTGATTGATAAATCGATGATCGTGAAGGATCACAATAGATCTGAGCTTCCAATGCGGCGGAAAGGAAGCTGACTTGTGTAACAGCCCAAATTTCATTAAATAATTAATTGTAGTAACTAATTTATCTAGTGGGATTTTATTAATGTTGGAAATTAATTTTTATTAATTGGGATTAATAGAGAATTGAGAAGGAAATTGGAAGGAAGGAAAATAAAGGAATTATATAAGAGAGAAAGAAAAGAAAAGAAAGATAGAAAAACATTTGGAAAGAAAGAGGAAAGAAGAAGAAAGGAGAGAAAGAGAAGAGAAGAAGAGGGAAAGTGGAAATCATCAAGAACCAACATCAAAGCTCCGATTAATCGAGGTAAGGGTGAGAAATGTTTCTATTTGATCATTGTATGATGTTATGTATGTCGGGTTGGGGTTTTGGTAGAGTTTTCATCACTTTCCAATTAGGGCAAAAGTTGAAATAATCGGTAGATTGATGATTTAATCGGTTGGGACTTGGAAATAATGCCGTAGAATAGTCGGGTAACATGAGGGTATGATGTTTGTACTGATTTTGTTGTGTGAGAAGTTGGATGATGGTGGATTGTGGAGGAGGAACAGAATAGGGTTCTGTTCTGCGCAGATTCGCTGGCTCTCGCCAGGCGAGCGAAGGCGAAGCTTCGCCAGGCGAAGCCTAGCGAGTGTTGGCGAATAATTATATTTAAGTCCCAGTAGACTTCGCTGGTGGGCTCGCCAGGCGAAGTGGGATGGCGAAGGTTCGCCCAGCGAAGGTGCTGGCGAATGGTGGCGAATGAAGTCAGTAGCTACTGGCTTGGGCTCGCTGGGAAGTCTCGCCAGGCGAAGGCCAGGCGAAGGTTCGCTGAGAGAGTTCGCCAGGCGAAGGCCAGGCGAAGGTTCGCTGCGAGGGTTCGCCAGGCGAATGAAGGCAAATGTGGCAGTATATTTTCTTTGCTGTGTTATCCAAATGGTGATTGTTTGGTTGATTCGCATATGTTTATACTTCTATGTTATGAATGAGTATGTGAACTATTACGATAACATGTGTTGTGGGTAGCCTTCGGGCGTGAATCCTAGAGTTGTGGATGTTTGATTGTTGTGTACAATTATGTAATGAGTATGCATGAGAACATTTTGAATATGTGTGCATAACTTATAATTGTATGATTGGTATTGTAATGAGAATACCTTGATTGTTGTGATAATTAGAGACACATGGGAATACAATGAGAAATGTATGTGTATCGTCTAATGAATTGCGAGTGCATATATGTATGCGATTGTGGTGTGAATGCATGAGAACATTTTGAATATGTGTGCATAACTTATAATTGTATGATTGGTATTGTAATGAGAATACCTTGATTGTTGTGATAATTAGAGACACATGGGAATACAATGAGAAATGTATGTGTATCGTCTAATGAATTGCGAGTGCATATATGTATGCGATTGTGGTGTGAATGCATGGGAACATATGTGATATGTGTGCATTGTTGTTGAATATGATGATGTGTGAAATGAATACATTGATAAATGTTTGATATATGTTGTATGTACAATCATTGTGTAATTCTTGAAGTGATGAATTATGTAAATGCATGAGATTAAGATGTCGGTCTTAAGTGCATTTGTTGTGGTTGATTGTACATGCATCATTTAGTCAAGAGGCAATGTCTGTTAGTTTCGTGGAAACTAGTGGCTTGTCCCAAACCTAGAAGTGTGGGTTTGAAGGCTTAGAGGACGGGCCTTTGTGGTTATCGGTCTAGAAGTGTGGACCCGGTTTAATGTAAAAACCGAAAAAAAAGATAACGGGTTATCGGTCTAGAAGTGTGGACCCGGTTTAATGTAAAAACCGAAAAAAGATAACGAGAGTCGGTACCGCATTGCATGAGTTGCATTGAGTTGTTGAGTCACATTGATATATGACATATGCATGAAGTGATGCTTATGTGTGGATGATGAGATTGTGGAAATTGTAAGTGTATACATAATGTGGGAAGGCTTGTGGATATCCATGTTTGTATATATACATGTGTGGTAATATATATGACTAAGAGAATGAAGTGTGGTGAGAAATGTGAATATGTGTTATATGATTACCTATATATATATATATAATCTTATGCTTTGATTATTATGGTTATATTTCTCACCCTTCTGCTGTTTTATAATGCTCTATGAGGCATTGCAGATTAGGATGCTGGAGTCCTTTTGTGAAGAATAGTCTTCATTCTTTTGAGTCTGCTGCTCTGATATGTAACACCGGGTAGTTAGACTAGCATAGTCATTCTTTTGTGATACATTGTGATGTATCAGCTGATGTGGTTTCGTAATCTAACTGACATGATGTATTAATCTGGATGACTTATGTGCATTGAATTAATATTTTGAAAAACGATCAAATGATTTTATCTTCCGCTTAAATTGAAAATGTTACATATTTTATGGAGCAAATAGTAGAAGTGGTTTATTGGTGAAATTGTGGCATTCTTCTTTTATACCTTATTATAAAACCTTTTTACTCTGATAATTTGTATGTGCTTAATTGTTTTATATGCATTTATTTGGGGTATAGAAGGGGGTGTTACAATAGTGGTATCAGAGCAGGTCGGTCCGTCCGGCCAAGTTGTTAGAGTGTTTTTCCCTATGTGTTATTGATATGCGTGTGATGCATTATCAATATTGGTTGTTCTTACGTGGTTCTGCTGTTGGAATTAGTAAGATGGTTGCAGGGAGGAACGACGAAGCGATTGCGGAGGCATTGACGAGATTGGCGGGGGCAATTGGGCAGAATCCTCCGGCCAATGTGAATGAGAGGAATCATGCTGATGATGGATTCCGTGCTTTGGGGAAATTCCAAAAGAATAACCCTCCGGTCTTCAAGGGAACTCATGAACCGGACAAGGCACAAATTTGGTTGAAAGCCGTGGAAAAGATTTTTCGAGTTATGAATTGCTCGGATGCACAGAAGGTGCAGTTTGGGACTCATATGCTCGAAGAAGAAGCTGAAGATTGGTGGGGTAATACTCGCCAAAGATTTGAGGAAGATGATATTGTGATTACGTGGGATTTGTTTAGAGAAACTTTTCTGGAGAAGTATTTTCCAGAGGATGTGCGGGGGAAGAAAGAGATCGAATTTCTTGAGTTGAAGCAAGGTAATTCGACGGTTGCTGAGTATGCGGCGAAATTTGAGGAGTTGATCAAATTTTGTCCCCACTATAATACTGGTAATGCTGAGAGGTCTAAGTGCCTCAAGTTTGTGAACGGTTTGAGACCTGAGATTAGACAAGCTATTGGATACCAGGAGATCAGGCGGTTTTCTGAGTTGGTTAACAAGAGCAGAATTTATGACGAAGACAGTAGGGCTAGGTCCAGCCACTACAAGAGTCTAAGTGACAAGAAAGGAAAGGGACAATTCAGAGGAAAACCTTACGTAACTCCTGCTGATAAGGGGAAACAAAAGGTTGGTTTTGGCAAGAAGCCAAGTGGGGGAGTTTCTACCCCGGTTAGGTGCTACACTTGTGGTGAAGTGGGGCATCGTGCCCCGGAGTGCAAAAGTGTTGAACCGAGGTGTTTTAAGTGTGGCAAGCCAGGCCACAAGGCGCTTGAGTGCAGAAGCGGTACGGGTGTTACTTGCTATAACTGTGGTGAGCAAGGACACATTAGTACGAAATGTGATAAGCCGAAGAAGAATCAAGGGAGCGGGAAAGTGTTCGCTCTTTCTGGATCTGAGACTGCTAGCGACGATCGATTGATCCGAGGTACGTGTTTTATTAATGGTATACCTTTGATCGCTATAATTGATACCGGAGCTACGCATTCTTTTATTTCTTTGGATTGTGTTAGAAGGTTAAATCTTGAGTTGTCTGTGATTGGTGGCGGTATGGTTATTGATACTCCTGCTATGGGTTCGGTAACTACACCGTATGTTTGCTTGAATTGCCCGTTGAGTATTTTCGGTAGAGATTTTGGGATTGATTTAGTGTGTCTTCATTTGGATCAACTTGATGTCATTCTTGGAATGAATTGGTTAAAATTCAATCGTGTGTATATTAACTGTTTTGACAAAACGGTTATTTTTCCCGATTCGGATGTTGAAAGAGATTTGTTTATGACGAAGAAACAAGTGAAAGAATCGGTGCAAGATGGGGCTAAGGTATTTATGCTTATGTCAACTTTGAGGACTAGTGAGAGTGAAGAGATTGAGGCTTTGCCCATTGTTAGAGATTTCCCGGAAGTATTCCCTGAAGAGATAAAGGATTTACCGCCGGAGCGAGAAGTGGAGTTTTCGGTAGATTTGATTCCTGGAACTAGTCCGATATCGATGGCTCCATATCGTATGTCGGCCTCGGAGTTAAAAGAGTTGAAGAGTCAACTTGAGGATTTGCTTGAAAAGAGGTTTATTCGTCCGAGCGTGTCACCGTGGGGTGCACCGGTCTTGTTGGTTAAGAAGAAAGAGGGTTCTATGAGGCTCTGTGTGGATTACAGACAGTTGAACAAGGTGACTATTAAGAATAAGTATCCACTTCCAAGGATTGATGATCTGATGGATCAGTTGGTTGGTGCAAGCGTGTTCAGCAAAATTGATTT